TTACTTGTGGTTCCTAGAGTCCACAGAAGCAGAATGGGAGGCAGAGCCTTTAGCTATCAAGCTTCTCTCCTATGGAACCAACTCCCAGTCTCAGTTCGGGAGGCGGACACCCTCTCTACCTTTAAGATTAGACTTAAGACGTTCCTTTTTGATAAAGCTTATAGTTAGGGCTGGATCAGGTGACCCTGAGCCTTCCCTTAGTTATGCTGCTATAGGCCTAGGCTGCTGGGGGGCCCCATGATGCTCTGAGTTTAATAGTGACAATAGTGAGGTCTAGACCTTACTTTGTAACGTGTCCTGAGATGACCTTTATTGTGATTTGGCAATATACAGATAAAATTTGATTAATTTATTGATTTCCTACACACTATATAAGATAAAATGATCAATTGTCATGTCCGACGCTGTTTATCGGTTTTGACGCCATACAACTGTCGCATCGAGCTGTTATCGGGCTCAAATCGTGTAATCTGAAGTTGACATAAGGTTTCATTGAATCATCTCTAAATTTACTGCATGGCTATGTGTAGTGTTGTTATGGGAATATACAATGATTTAATGTGTCTTTGCCATCAATTAAACTACACAATTGTTTCTTTACTACTGGTGGAGAACTAGATATTCACAGCCTAAGAGGAGATCAACACAGTTTTTAAAAGAAAGGAATCTATTTGTTAAGATAGAGGGTTATGTGTTACAAAAGCCTAATGATCAGATTTGCTCTGATAATGAAGTGCTATTGCATTGCATCGCATCACACTGATAAAGGATGGCAAGCTACTGTGCTACAAAAACTGTTGCTGAAGTCACTTTCTTCAGACATAGATGGTTATGTAATGACATCATTGTCACTGATAGCAATTATAATTGCATACCAACAGCAATACTGTAAACATGCAGCACTAACAACTTGGACTTTCAGTACATTTATTGTATTCTGCTCTCTGTAGGCATTAACAAATCTCAAGCAAGATGTAAATGGAAGCACCAATACAAAGCTAATGTTTTTTCTGTACTCCACTTATTTCTATACTCCACTGTCGCTGTCTGAAAAAGCACTCAGACCACTGTCTTCTAAATGAGGTCATAAAAATGCTTCCTCCCATTTGGCATGCAGATCCACAGAGTGCACCTGTGGTATGCTGCAGACAGCAGCTTCTTGCTGTCACGTGTTTCTTGGTGCAAATTTGTTAGATATACGTTTTATTTATTGAACATCTTTGGTGGTGTGCCAGGGCTTGTGTCCCATGATGCTGTCGAGATCACACAAACATGGCCCTGTGGTGGTTCACTACATAAACAAAAGTAAACAAAGACAATAGTAGTCAACTCCGGAATGTGACTTATGAGGGCAGGAAACATTTTATGGATGATTCATATTCAAGCTCTTATTAATGTGTTATTAAGACCCCTCTTAAGCACATACAGTCATCTCCTAATCAGTCAAACCTTTCCAGATACCTGTTCTACAGACCACAAAATTAAACACACCTCTGCAGATTGTGTTATGAATAATTGAGCTTCACTTATTAAGACTCAGCCATCATGATTGCCTTCTCTGAGAGTTTTGGGTGGGACCTGGAATCCGTGAAGATATTGTTAGTTGTGGTTTGTTTGTCCTTCCTACAGTTACTTTCCTGTCCATTCTCAATCATCAGGCCAAACATTGGCCAGTGTGAAGTGTACAGACCATTCAGTGTTCCTCGGTTAACAAATCATTTATCTTTTGACTGTAACCTCATAAATAACATGTGATGCACGCAGTTAAAGCATACCGGATATTCCAAAGTTACACTAAGAGGAGGAAACCATTGTTTCTAAGTATGACATATGTCTTTATTTGGACCGTTGTAGATTTGCAGTCCTCAGTCAGGACTGACAGAATAACCGTGGGATTGTTTAACAGACAGTGTTTATAGTGACAGGCCATTTCCTGGGAGCAGAAGAGCTTCCATAATGGTTAAATATGTGTGCATTCAGTCTCAGAAACAGCACGTGTTTTATTAAAATGTAGTTTACTCCCATGTCATACTTTATATGCGCAATGTGCTAATATGTGCAGTAGATTGTATTAAATTATATCAAAAGGGCACCCTGAAAGATTCCAGTTTATTTTTGTCAAATGAAGAGAATCAGGTGTCTCTTTTGTGAATCTGTATTACACTGTATTATTTTGTAGGTTTTAGACCCATAAATCAGGTAAAAGATAACTAAGAACCTCTCTAGATCCATACCCTTAGAGGTTGTCAGAAAGTATTTTAAGTATTTTAAGAGAGAAAAAGCAGCAATAGCGAAACTAACACGCCCTGATCCTGCGGTGTGGGTGTACCTGTGTTTAAAATAAACAACCCGACATTCCCATATGCCTATTGTCAAGTAAAGGAAGTATTTATTTGTAATTGATGTGTGACACTAATTCATCACATTATTATTTACAGAACGCAAATAGATCCATGAGAAAATGCTTTTCTGATAGTAGAGTTCATATACACTTGTAAATGTTTTTAGTAAACATAGTATTATAGACATTTGCCCTGTTTTATTTTTGCCATGTTTTGACGAGATGGTGTTATCTTTCTCCTCAGTACATGTCTTTTTCTTTGCTTAAATCAGAACTAACTCACACCAAACAAGTAAAAACAAATATACACAGTACAAAAGGTCCCTTTCCTTTTGCTCAGAAAGCAGCAAGGTTAGCAAAAAATAAATGTGAACCATGTCAGGAGCTGACTTTATTCCCATGTGCTGATACTGCTAAGAGGTGATAATGAGCCTTAAATATGACACTGCAAATCACAAAACTGCATGAAATAAGATACACAGAGATGGTGATGTGTGGACCTGCTAATGACTTTAAACAAGCATGTTAATGATGTGGGAAAGTAATTTTGACCAACTGCGAAACAGTAAGAGCAATGACGGCCCCCGGCTTTTAAAACCTACAGTACAGTACGTGGAGCAGCTGTTGGTGGGTGATTGTAGACCTCTCCCTTATCCTCCCTTATCTTACCTTCAGTATGTACTACACATCACCCTGCTCTGTGCATGTTGTGTGTGCATGGATTTCTCCAGCAGCACTGTGGCTGCAGGGTGAGCTGGTAAAACTCTTTAGAGAGCCAGACCTGTACAGAGCAGTCATCAGTCATTTAGCATTAAGACCTTAGCACTTAGCCATATAAATACAGGGAGGGAAGCACAGGCTGTAAGAGGGAGAAAGAGGTGAAGGGGGAAAGATAGGGATGAGGTTAGAGACATTCATTATCTGTAACAAACAGATAAAATAATCCTGGTACCTGTGAAAATATTTGATTCATCCATTAATAATTGAACAAATTAGATTTTAATTAGTTTTTTGATTATATTTCACTTTATGATTTTTTTCTCTCAAAATGTCTGTGAGGTCATGGCAGAAGATATCTGAATGTCTAAAAGTATTAGTTAAACAAAGCTTCCATCTTTTAAAATTCACTGTACTATTAAGACATAACAGAACACAGAGGTGAATCTTTACTAAAGAAATGTTGTCTGCTATTGACAATAACTGTGCAGGGTTCATCCATACAAATGTTTTTTTGTGGTGTCATAAAAACTTATTTTAGTTTGTCAGGTTAGAAAGCAAGCCAGTTATGGTGACACTGTCTATTAGAATGTATAGAAAAATAAAGTGTGGGAATCACTGGCACTATGATGATTAGATTTCCTCATGGAATGAGATTAGTGCACAATATTTGTTGTTTACATTATGAAAAATGGTTACTCACAAAATTGCTCATTTGAAATTATCTCAGAACCATATGCCATTTTTTACCTAATGCACATGTTACCACTGCTTTTGTAGTACAGCAGTAGTCAGTTATATTCCTAAATACATTTATAGCTAGTACAAGTGGTCAGGTCACGGTTACCGTTTAATGTGGCACAGTGCATAACAGAGTTATTTTATTTAAATGCCTGCAAAAACGTTACATACATTTATGAAACTGTTTCTAGGTCACTGTTCTCCTAAAATAGGGTTACGAAGGGACTTCTTTGTTTTTTTTTTTTGTCATGCCATAATATCACATGTTCAGAACTACAGTTATACTATAATCTAATTACTGTCCCTTATCCTGTTGGTTGGCCTCAACAGCTGTAGGACTGTGATGTTTCTATCTTATGTAACATGCCCACCTCTCTTTTCTCTCTCATCTCTCATCCTCCCTTTCTCCGCTGTATGTTTATGCTGGTGATTTGTCAAAATGCTCCAGCCTGCCTCCCCTCATCCCCTCATCGCTGCCAAAAGTAACATCTCTGCCCTTTCCTCTCTGCAAAAACACAAAACTTAGCTTGAGAGCATTAAAAATTCAGGTCTGTTTGGGGTGGTACTACTGATAAATAGTGACTAAAAGGCCTGTAAGCTCGGTTGTAAGAAGTAAAGATGGAACAACGTATGGCCTGGAATAGAGTGGGAAAGAAGCAGTGCTGGTGTGTGTACTGCTATTAATTGTCTTGCATATTCTCAAGTGAATCTTAATTCCAGCAGCCTGGCATGTTTTTTTTTTATTTTATGTTAGGTGACACAGTATAATCCTATTTCTGTCTTGCCCTCTTTTTTCTCCCTCTGTCTCCTGTAAGCACTACCCTATTTGGGAATACTCCAAACTGTACTTCCTGCCTCCTCCTTTACTGTAGGACACCACATTTGTACAGCTGAACTGAATCCTGTACAAGCCACATCATACAGTTCCCAGTCCTGTATTCTTTGTAACTACAGTGCTATTCATTTGCCAGGTTTCTTGAAACCTAATTAGTTGGAGTTGAATGAAGCCCTTCACTGTGTCTCTGCCTAACTGGTATCACACAGCTGACCTGGACAGGTCTTGACTTAGTCCAGAGAGTCTTTACTGCAAAGTCCAATAGAATAACAGATGAGAATGTAAATATTTAAATTTATGAACATGTGTCATTTTCTGTCACCATATCCAAAGTAACATTTTCTCTTTTCTCTTTTCCCCCCACAGTCTTCATCTGCAGCTTCATGGTGGCAGCTCCCATCTTCGGTTACCTTGGTGACCGCTTCAACAGAAAGGTCATCCTGAGCTGTGGCATTTTCTTCTGGTCTATTGTTACTCTGTCAAGCTCCTTCATCAGTAAAGAGGTACAGCATGGAATACATTGTGACAGACACTGTAGAGCAGTTGCAACACAAACACTCCAATATTATTCTATTAGTGTGCTGTTCCTGTGATAGAGTCTATGGGGAAGAGCTAATTATTCCATCATGATCTGGATATGCTTGATGTTTAAAGCTAGCATAATGAAATGACACGCTCTTTAAGTCAGACACCCACTTAGCCTTTGTAGACATTCTTTATGTCTCCCTTTCTCCCTCCCTCTCTCTTTACCAACCACTCCACTAATGAAGGCCCATGTCTTAGAGTTGTCTCAATTACAGTGCTTTAGAAGATGTTTCACTCTATCTTGACAAGTGGATTCAGATCTGATATCTCTAAAAGCTTCTGTGCGGTGGGTGGTGTTGGACACATTAAACAATAACATTATTCTTGGGGTTAATGATGCATGTGTGTGGGGTGTGTGTATGTGTGTGTGTGTGTGTGGGGGGGTTATCATGCTGAAAGTAGCCATCACATTACTGTAAAAGGTTCTGTGCTGTGCATGTGGGGGGGTGTAGACAGACCTTGCTATGTGGTCTTGGTGGACAGTCATAATAAAAATCAAACCAACTGACTATTTGAAGTCACTGGGCTATGGGGCATTAAAAGCTATGATATTTCAATTTATGCAGCACACGGTGTGTCTAGAGCAGCGTCATGAGTCCAGCAGTGAGTAAGCCTGTTCACTGCTGAAGTGCTTCAGCCCAGAGCTGTTAGGGTCGGAGCGCGAAGCTGTCGATAATGTCGTGGTGAACTCAATTAAATTGCCAGACGAGGATACATAAAACAAAACCGTCTCTTTAATAAGAGCACAAGACACTGAACAAAAAACGATACAAGACACAGTGGGAACACAAAACGCACTTACAGGTCGATTTATACAGTCCAGGGTCAGAGCCAGCGAACACATACATCCAAGGAATCCAAAGTTCGTTGTCAAAAAGGGAAATCTTATAATTCATACACAGTAGGCAGTCCAAAGTAAGAGGCTGCTCAGGAGGGCGGCCGCGAGGCCAGGCAGGAGGCCGGAGAGGCCACTCGGGAGGGCAGCTGTGGGGCCAGGCAGCGGGAGAGGGGCATCGGTACCGACCCACAGGAATGGAGGCGCCGTCGGCCGACCCGCTCAGGGACAGGAGGAAGGAGGACGCTGTCACCATTGGCGAACCCCTCCGTGGCTGGGAGAAGGGGAATGCTGTTCTTGTTGGTGAACCCCTCTGGAGCTGGGAGCAGGGGAATGGAGAGGGCTTTGGAGGTCCAGCCAAGCCCCATGGGACCAGAAGCAACCGCCTTTGTTGGCATCTACTCGTCGGCACACTGCAGACCCAGTACCGTGGCAGGGACGGTGTCGTTGATGCACCTGGGTTTCTCGGTCTCAGTGGGGACGTTTAGGTAACCATGCCAAGGGGTGGACTCTGGGGCAGCGTCAGTGCCCCGGCCGACCCGCTGGGAAACAGGAACAGGCTGTGAAGGTGGCTGTAGCTGTAGAGATGGCCACTGCCGGGAACCTGGAGCTGGGACCTCCTGTGGAGCGTTCCTCGTTATGCACAGGGTGGTGGTAACCTTGGCGGGGATGCTTCTGTTGGCACACTGTAGGTAGGGGGCTTCAGCGGGGACACTTTCATTGGCACACCAGGAACCTCCCTGTGCTGAAGGGGTGTTGACCTCAGGAGTCGTAACTGCAGGAACAGGCTGCCCCTGCCGGGGTGCTGGCTAAAAAAAAGGCGGGGTCTGTGGAGCCTGCCACTGTGGTGGCTCAGACTGCTGGGGCTGTGGAGGTTGCTGCTGCTGGAGACTGGGTACAGAAACTGGCTCAGAAGCAGTATCGGTGGTCTGGCCACCCCCTTGGAAACAGGTACAGGAACTGTGACCCCAGTTGACGGCCTCCTTCTGACTCTCCTCCTGACACTCCCTGGACCACCAGGACAGAGAGCCCACCAGGTTCCCTCAAAGAGTGAAGGGTTAAGGACTTTGAGGTCTGCACCAGTTGACAATGAACAGGCACCCAGTGGAACAGAGGAAGCAGGACTTGGAACAAGGACGGCGTCTGCGGTCTGGCCGACCTGCTGCAGAACTGGATATGGCACAGGTTGCAGGTTGATAGTGGGCCAGTGCTGGGGGGGAGAGCGGATCGGCCATTCCTGAAAAATGTCCTGGGCTTCTGCTGGGTTCAGGCAGGTCCCTCTGGGCTGGGACGCAGGAGTAAGGGAGTACACCCCTACCCTGATGGAGGAGTCGAGATCCTGTGGGCAGGAAGCACTGGAGCGACTTATGTGCCACAAGTCTTGTGGTAGAAAAGTGTCCCAGGGTGAGCCATCCGACCAGTAAGAGTCTAAAAAGGCCTCCTTTCGTAGCTCCCTCACCTGGAGTAGCATGTCCTTAGTCACTGGGAGGTGTGCCAGATGGGACCGGTTCTGGATCAGTGCCTCCATATGAGCACATAGCCGTATGCACTCTGCAGGATGCTGGAGATTGTAAAACCGGTGGCAGAAACTGCTTAATACCGTCCACAACTCCAACACTTTGTCTTTCTCGCTGGCTGAGTTCATTTTGGCCAGATTGTAGTGTTAGGGTCAGAGCATGAAGCTGCCGATAATGTCATGGTGAACTCAATTAAATTGCCAGACAAGGATACGTAAAACAAAACCGTCTCTTTAATAAGAGCACAGACACTGAACAAAAAAAAAACGATACAAGACACGGTGGGAACACAAAACGCAATTACAGGTTCATTTATACAGTCCAGGGTCAGAGCCAGTGAACACATACATCCAAGGAATCCAAAGTTTGTTGTCCAAAAGGGAAATCTTATAATTCATACACAATAGGCAGTCCAAAGTAAGAGGGCAAGGCAGAACAGAATGGTCAAAGTACACGATCCGGGTCAGAACAGAAAACACCAAAAACAAAAACGCTGGAGAGTCAGAGCTGGGGTCTAGAACAATCTGGCAGCGTCCCGGTGGGAGGACGCTGCCTAAATAGGAGTGAAAACAGGTGCAAACACTCAGCAGCAGGTGAACCTAATGTTTGTGATGACTAAAGTAAAAAGACTGTGGTGAAAACAAAAACAGGAAGTGATGTCAAAATAAAAGCACGACAGGAAGCAAACGGAACTGAACCATGACATGAGCTGTGGAAGGGACTGACAACTCAGAGATGTTGATGGTGTTAGGATGGCGTCCTTTGACTTCCCTGCAGACTCATGTGCTAGGAGACAAGATGGCAGCCATTTGCCTAAGCAGGAACTATATCTTCAGACAGCTTAAAAGCTGAACTCAAAGAGCTCTTTGTCTCTGACATTATGACACAAAAGCTATTGACTGCTGATGAGGAAACGAGTGGTCTTCAGCACACATAGTCTTTTAACTCTGCACTAAAGACATGTTCCTGAGTCGGCCAGTCAAATGAGATAAAAGGGGATGCTCTTACGCAATAGCACTGCAGCACTGTCACCATGACAGATGAAAGACATGACATGCAATGAAATGTTAACAACCACTTACAACCAAGCCCTATCATTATGGATTTAAGACACTGGAGCCTCTTGGAAGGAATTCAGGTCTTACATAACAGAAATTTGCCACAGTCATAAACTGAAAGTGCTTTTTTTTTTTTTTTTTTTTTTTAAATTTGAAACTCATTAGTGACTGTTTCTGGCACTCTTGTCAGTGTGCCAGAAAGATGAATATCTTGCAGAGCAACAACCTATACATCTTTGATAACCATGTATTTATTATTGTTATTGTTATTTATTATTGTTTATCTATATTTTCATTCAGTTTTATCTCATGAATATAAAGAGCTACTATAGTCGTATTAGGTTGCATAGACTGATGGTCCTTTTGTCAGTCAGCTATCATGGTGTACAAGTACACCTCTTCTCTTCTGAATGTGATGTTTTTAGTGGGTTGAAGCTCAGGCTGTAGACAAAAACTGTACAAGGTTTGTTTATGAAGCCATTAATTACAGAGAAATATTATTTTTATTGATTTGAAATAATGACTGAATGTAGTGTCTGGAAAAATGATATCTCTTCTATCCACATTTAGTTAATGGTTACTAGGTCCATATTACAACTCCAGCTAGAAGTGGGTGAAGTTGAAGCAGTGTGTATAGTAAATTATAATACATGGTATCTCCTTGAATGTACTGATGGAACTGATTATATAATCAAAATAGTTTAATTCAGTGTGCACAGTCCCACACAAGTTAGTGTCAAGCCCTCTGTGCCCCATTAAATAAATGTAATTGTTTTCTCTGTGTTAACTGGCAGTTGTCTATGTGCTATAAAATGCACACAAAGTTATACTAATACTTGTATGATAATGCTAATCAATAGTGCTCCAGTAATTAGCCAGTGTTGGCAGTAAACAGTATACCCACTAAATATCAGCATTCTACTGTGAGCATGTTAGAATGCTGATGTTAGTTTTTAGCTCAAAGTACCACTGTGCCTATAGCCTCGCTGAGCTGCTAGCTTGGCTGTAAACTCATTTGCAAACAGGTTCAAAACAGCCAGAGCTGGAGTAGGTTTCCCTAAACCTCTTTATTATCTTTGTAGTCTTCAGTCAGCTTTTGCAGCTTCTAAACCTCTTTTTTGTGGTGCACCACTGGTACTACTCCTTGCTATTGTCACTGCTACTAGAATTTCAGTGCTAAGTGGTGATAAAGTGACCACATGAAAAAACTAAATGGTGGGCCATTAAAAGCATGAAAAAAACTAAATGGTGGGCCATTAAAAGACGAAAACAAACTGTCTGTAAATCATCTAAAACAGCTACAAACACAAAGACATACAGTAGTGAAAGATCAGTTTGGATTAATCATGCACATAGAAGTTTACTGCAGAACCAGAACCAGGAATGAACGCCATAGCAAAGATAGTTTTGGGATACGGCTCTTGAGTGTCATATTATGTGAGGTGGCTTGTATATGTGTGTGTGGTGTAGTCACCAGAGGAGGTTGTGACCTCATGACATGATGCCCCACTCATCAACATGAAGCCTGGCAGCAGGCTGAGCTCAGGTCAGCCCTGGGGACACTGTCTTAGCCCTGTCCCTACCTTCACCAGTCTCTTTTTTCAGCTGAGAAAACCTACACATTATTATCCTATCACACTCCAATAGTCCAAAGGATCATATCGTTATAGTCCACATTGTGCGTGTATATGCTTGAGGTGGAAATTAAAAGCCACATAATCGGTTCTGTACCGGAAACAAGTTCCTTGTGTGTAACATACTTGGCCAATAAAGGTGATTATCCTTATCCTATAATGTCAAGAAATGTGAAATTTAACAGTGAAAGAGTGCACAGTGTGACACTATCAAGTAAAGTTATCTCATTGGAACATTAAGACACATGTGGTGCATACAGTCCAATTAATTTTACTCATGGGACTAACAAACAGTAAGCACATTATTGGCCAGTATTACCATTATGCATCCTTCCACTGTGTGGGAGACCTAGATTTCTTTGCAGCTTCACAAGCAGACATGGTAGTCCATATCCAGTGAGTTGTTGTTGCCATGGAAACAGTTAACAATCCAGCTGCCTACTATACAGGTGCCCCTGCTAGTGTGCATGTTCCTATAAAAGTATTTATCTTTTTTCATCCATGAATTATATTTGATTGAAGACGATATGGTAATTTAGTATAGCTAAATAGGATTCTCTTTCATACTGATGATGACAACTGAATTATTAGCCATCCATCCTCTATACCACTTATTTCTGAATATGGTCGCTGGGGGCTGGAGCCTATTCCAGCTGACACTGGGCAAGAGGCGGGGTACAAACCTGGACAGGTCACCAGTCTGTCACAGGGCTGGCATGTAGGCAGACAACCACACACCCTCACACTCATGGGCAATTTAGAGTCACCAGTTTACCTACACTACATGTCTTTGGACTGTGGGTGGAAGCTGGAGCACCCGGAAAGATCCCACACAGGCACAGGGACATGCAAACTCCCACCAGGTTGGCTGGGACTCGAACCTGGAACATTCTTACTGTGAGGCGACAGCGCCAACCACTGTGCAGCTGTACCGCCCCTGAATTATTATTATTGTTGTTGTTTGGTTGATCAAGATAAGCTCCACCAAATTTGTGGATGGTGTACAACAACCTCTTGACATTTAAGGCTGTTCAAGCTCACTGTGACAACTTGTACTTTCATATGATGTGTAAAAAAGCAGCAATATCATGGTTAGTCCCATAGTTAGTTTCTCATTCATGAGCCACATACTGTACTTTCAGTGTTGTGCATCACATGTGTTAATCCATTGTTCAGTCCTGAGCATCGGTTTATGAACTGTCCAGCTATGTTTATCATCCATTGTTCAGTCCTGAGCATCAGTTTATGAACTGTCCAGCTATGTTTATCTCATAAACAGATGTATCAGAGGAAGTGTGATTTCAGGAACCACTGTATGTGACATACTTTAGCACTCTTAGTTACAAACTCAGTAAATCTTGAATGAGAAAACTGGATAATTGTAACCTCAAATTTGCCTTGTAGGCCAGATATACGAGATGTTCACAGACAACCCATTAAGTACTGTGAGGACAAAAAGTTGGGTTGAGCTGTTTTTGCCCAATGAAAAATTGGAGAAGAAAGTGACATCTGAACAAAAAAAATGGCTCTTGGGTTTATTATCTGCTCTGACAGAATATTGCCCTGCTGAGTTTGATAACAAAACTCATATTTTCTCTTTGCCCTCTCATATTTCTTTCTCCCTCCCTCCAGTACTACTGGCTGTTTGTGCTCTCCAGGGGACTGGTGGGCATTGGTGAGTCCAGCTACTCCTCCATCTCTCCAACCATCATAGGGGACCTGTTCACTAATAACTGCCGCACCATGATGCTGTCTGTGTTCTACCTGGCCATCCCCTTGGGAAGGTAAGAACCAGATAGATCTTGTTTTCTTGATGCAGACACTGGGAAACAACAAGGTAATTGTGCTATTTTGTAAGATATTCATGCAGATGTATATCAAAATATAGCTTGGTATTATTAAATCACTCCATACAACCTTGTCTTCAAATGTACAAATTGTACAGAGGAGCCAGCAACATTAACATACAGTAGATCATTGGAATTATCTTCACATAGAGAAGGTCAAACTCTTGTTGCAGTAGCAGCCACACAAAACTCAGGCAGAAAGAAAAGCAGATCTTACAATGGCTGTGTGAAGGTTAAAGCAGGGCGGAGGTCTTTTTGGAGATGGAATTGTGGGGGAAGGAGATATTATTTTGCTTAAATCCAGCTCTTTCAGTGCATTCAGTCAGAAAAAGGGCCAGAGGGAGGAAACAAACAAAGCCAAGTAATAAAATATGAATGTAAGGGTGGATGAGACGTGGGAAAGCCGCTTGAGGTTTATTGTTATATACTATACAGTGCTTATCAGTATGCATCTGAGCTGCTGCATGCTGCTCTGTTTTCCAACTACTGCACACAGAATCACACATAAAGACATGCTAAGGAAAAGGGGAAATGTGCTGCAGTTTTTGGAACAGTGTAAACATAATCACCTAAGCTTTATTTAAATGTATGCAATTATATTATGTAATGTACTAATCATAAGTGTTATTAATGGCACACTGGAGACAAATGAGTAAAGGAAGGACTAACTGCCCTCTGAGTGGTCATGTTATGAGCTGCCAAAATGTTTGGGTCACAGTAAGCTGCCCAGCAACACAGACAATAGAAGGTGAAAGAGTTGGCCTCACTAAAGTGCAGTCAAACATCCTATCCAGTCTCCCACTTGTTTGTCTTTAGTGAGGTTGTTGTGACCATTTCCAGGAAATTACCTCAGGAATTACACTGGGTTCACAGGAAATAGTTTCCCCCTGCTCTCGTTTTTGTCTTCTATCATTTTTAAACCTGACCCAATGGACATGGTTCTGTGCAGTGCCAGTGTTTGATGTGAGTGTGTTTTTCAAGCTTGAGTTTTAGTGTTGGTGTTGAACTTTCCAAACACTCTCTGGGTGGACTGTGATAAGATTAGCCTTTAGTCACTCACTGGAAATATCATATGCTGTCTGAGCCCGTTTATACTGTGGTGTTATTTTTGGAGAACTAATCAGGGAAGCACTACTGTAGACTGTTTCCCTGTTGGCCCTCAGTGTGTAGACTAATGTATGTGTGCTAAACCAGTTATACATGTTTTGGCCCTTTAGCAGCCAGTGCTGATAAGAACAAACTCCGATGTTCTGTTGGTTACATTTGATCATCAATCTATTGCTCCAAGCTGGTATATGCGAAACATCTACACACCGACCCAAAAAGTGCAAAGAAATCAGGATGTCTGATTTACTTTTAAGGATAAGGATAATTTTACTGACTAATTTCAGTGAAGAGGCTTAGTGAAATATTAGATGAAACTACAGCACAACAAATTAAAGAACAGAACCAATCAGCAAAATCATCTTTAGTGCTACTTGGCATAGATTCACCATATCTTTGAACTGCTGCTGAAGGGATGAACACCATGTTCCAAAAGATATTCCATCATTTGTAGGAGGTGGCTTGTGTTAGGCCAGTCTTAACTTTGCTGTCATTTATTCTTATGCATATTAGATGGCTTCACAAAAATAAAGGCAGACTTATTTTAAACCTGAAATGTTACACACCCTGCCCCCAAACTAAATCAGACCTAAGAGGCATGTTTTCATGGCCACAATCAGTGACACCTGCTGACCCCAAATGTCAAAACTGAGCAGGACATGGCTGATACTTTACAGTTAGCAAACAATGATTTGGAGCAATCAAAATGAAAGGACAAAGCTTTGGAGAGTGAAGTAACCTACTGGAAATCTACAGTAGTAAGGGCATCTTTCATTTGCCTGAGAACACTATCCTGAGCCTGACTGACAAGTTAGTCAAGTTAGTAGTTTTTTGTTAACTCAAACCCAGAAATCGTGGTAAATTAGCCCTACTGTTGATAGTGAAGCAGTAGACAACTTCAATGGATTTACAGTACATTGTTTAGATCAATCTGAATATTAACAGTTTGTTTGCCTTTGTGTTTTGATGTTGGCGGTTGATGTACATCATTGCCCTTAAGTTTCATAGCTATACTGTGTGATTTAGACCTTGTAACTGGCCATATCATTAAATTCACATGATTTTCACAGGTACTTTCATGTGTATGAAAGTACCTGTGGGATAGCAAAGGAAACAGGGCCATTCTCAAAAAGTGTCTGATCTGCTCATGGTGATCACCACTGACTAATATCAATAACTAAACAGATCTTTGACTACTACCTCATTGTGTTGAAGATAATGCCTGTATATTCTGCTTTGCCAGTCATGCCCTCAGTTTGCCCTTTCAAATTATTTGACCTTTCAATGCTGATGCTGTCTAACAGCAGTGATATGCACAGCGTAACAACCTTTGGGCATTTGATCTGATCTAGTAATATTTGTGTCAAAGCATTTCACTGTTTCCCTTTATAACACAAGCACATACTTTGACTCAGCTAAATTGGAGTGAAATTCAATTACACTGTGACAAAAGCTGCCTTTGGTCAGACAACCATGTTAGTACAATGCTTTGTTGGTTCATGGGCTGGAACTTTGCACATGGATTCTGTGACTACATGCACAAATCACATCTATAAATAAACCAACTAAGCAAGTTGCTGCTGGTGCTTTGATCCATGACACTGTTATAGGCTCTCCATGTCAAGTACCCAAACACTCACTGCAGCTTTAACCAGATTACAAACAGGATGTGTGTAGTGTAGGCATTAGCTTGGGTGATGGAAATGACAGCCATGATGAGGTCTGGACACTGACTCATATGCTTTAGATATAAGTAATGAAATGTTTTGGGCTAATATGCAGTCTTTGTGTCTCTGCAGTGGGTTGGGTTATATCCTGGGCTCTGGCGCCAAGGAGGTTGCAGGAGACTGGCACTGGGCACTGAGGGTAAGGTCATCATTATTATCTTCCAACACTGTACATACCCACCCAAACATACACAAAGACAAAGAGGAGTCCTTCCTGCGGTGATGAGGCATGTCACGTATCTGGGGTGAGAGGGGTCAGTGGTGGAAGAAGCACCCGGGGGACACAAAATACATTGCCAAAGAGGCGCTCCAGGCTCTGACACTGCAGAAAAGTGACAGAGGAGAGAGAGCTAAGGAGTGAATAACTCACACACACACACACACACACACACACATCCAGCTGTGCCTGCAGCCTTCTGCAGAACCATTCCTAAAAATGTTCTTTAAAAAATCCCCCCCAAAATACCCATCAAATTCACTCAACAACTTCAAATTTGTGTTTAAACTAAAACTGTATGCAGTTCAGTTTTGATCCAACGGATGCAGCAAGAAGAGTGGATTTCTAGTAAATATCAAGGCTGATGTCTTTCTCAGCTGCTGTAAACACATTTATCTTTCATTAAACTTTACCCACGGAGGTCATCTCCGCTGAAGTGGGATCAATGTCAGCCTTGGTGAAATAACAAGGTCTACTGGGGTCTACTGTCCTTTTCACTGCAGGAACTTAATGGAACATAGTGTTAATGTTTAGCCACTATCTGTATGTTATGGGTCCTGATTTTATTTTCACTGTTCACCACACACAATGGGGAGAAGTTCCTAGAGGGGAGGGTTTGGTCAGGACATAAATTAAATGAATGTGGATTGTGATTGGTCAGACAAATATTTCTTTACGTCACATTAAAAAGTACGGGGGCAACCACAGAACAATAACCACCAATTTACTGCAGCAGCAGAGGAACAATGGAAAGTGCGTGGAAGGGAGATGATGACGTCTAAGCCCCGAAAATCACTTACAAAATGCTATTCAGGTAAAGAAAAATCACTAGGCTAAAATTAACTCAGGGTTGGGTCAATATAGCGGTGACACAATAATGGGTTGATTTTGCCCAGTGTGTACAGGTAGAAAACCACAGACAGCAAGAATTTGTTTTGATGCAGTGACCCAACAATTGCAATGGCTCAAAACAACCCAACTAGGTACTGTACTATATTGACCCCACAGTGGGTCAATTTGTATACCACTGACTCTTAAGATATAAAAAAATGTAATGGAGTTGACCAGGCACAAAGACTCATTTGTTTTGGCTCACAAAATGCCCCACAGGCACCCCATAAGCATTAAGCTGGATCTCTTTTAATTAGAGACAAATTTCAACTCTCAGGAGAAATGAATCTTTAGAAATTTGCTGAGACATCCATCTTCATGAAGTATTGCTTCAAATGAACTTTTTTTTTTTTTACAAGCCGCACCCTTAGTGTGCCCTAAGGAGCAGACAAAGGTGTTAAATCTAGAACATAAATCACTGCTGCCAAAGCACTTTTTTCTACTTGGACTCCACTGAGTACTTGAGACAAAACATTTGGAGACAAACAGCTAAGACATACCAGTCATAATGGAAGGAACTAGTGACAGCAGCACACAGGACTCCCCAGGAGCCACTCACTTCAGGGTCAGCTTTTAAAATTCTTGCAACAAATTATGACCTGATGCTTCTAAGGAACTGTTTGACATTTAAAGGACGACATTAAACATTCTCTCAGCATGTTGTAGGGAGGAGATTCCTGGAAATGACAGCTCACAGAGATTGAGGAAACAGGAAGTCCATTTCTTCTTGCCTTGGTGGAACATTAAAAACACAAAACAAAGAACGGGGCATTTTGTTCCAAAGCAGCTACAATGACATTCCAATAAAACAATCCCAAAGTCAATTAATCACTGGTGTGGCATGCAGAAGAAAACAAATACCAGGACATGAAACGGGGTCTGTGTGGCAGTGTCACGATTTAAGGAAAAAACACTGTAGCACTTCCGTTTGTTTTTGCACCATCTCTTCAGCTACAGTACCTTTCTGGAAACATGGACATTAAGAAGGAACATGATGGAGATGCATATAAATGAGGAGCATGAGGGGGTAGTAGCTGATTTGTTTGATGACCAACCATCCATACAGGAAGTGTCTAATGGTCCCTGTGGGAGTTAAGGTCTAAGATCACAGACTCCTGGTATCTTGTTGAATAATTATGAAAAGTCTTCAGAGCAAAACTTAAGCAAAAAAGGCAAATATTTATTTTACTCTTCAATGAGATGAGCTCTATCTTTCATTCAGCTGCACATCATAAGAATTTGAATGCTGGTCAATCCAATTAAGTTACTCCACACATGCAGAAGAAGATTAGACACACAATAGAGAAAAAGAAAATGATCAGTATCACCTCTGAGACAGACCATAACCATTGTGCTGAACTGCATTATCAGACACATTATGAGCCACACACACACACACTGTACTGTATACCCTCACACACACATCTCACAGTACCACTTTATAGGCTTTATAAGCTACAAAATATAATATAATGAATTTCCCCTGACATACAAAATTGGTTTTGCTTTTGTGAACAATTTGTTTTAGTCAAACAAATCCTTTCCCTCACATTCCATCCTGCCTTTTGTCTTTGTCCCCTCCATGTAGACACACACAGGCACAAACATGCTCCTGCATAATCCATGAAAGAAAAGATGATAGTGAACATAATAACAGATGGGCACTTATGAGGTTTTCACCTTGGTACAAAGCTCACAAAGCAGCTCTCTAAGCTAAAAATCTCTTCTAAAGTCTTGCATGCTTACACACATAGACAAGCAAACACACATAAACACACACAGACTTTGCCAACAGAGTAAGCAGATGTAATGTTCTTAGCTCCAGAGGGCTTGTACAGGATGTCAAGTGTATCTGCAAACACAGTGGCCGTCCATTCAGATTGTAAACAAACTGTTCTTTGTCTGGTATTTAATATCTGTCTCCTCCAAACCATTCCCCAGTCTGACTGAGTATGAATGACTATCCAGTCAGTATTATGTGTTAACATAGCCTGAGGTCTCATTCATCATTCTGTCCCGGTAGGTGTCCCCAGTTTTAGGGATCACTGCAGGAACTCTGATCCTGCTCTTTGTGCCTGAGCCAAAGAGAGGCAGTGACCAGATGGGAGGACGCATCAGGACCCGCACCTCCTGGTTCTGTGACATGAAGGCCCTCACCAGGAAGTAAGATCCAGCTTCAGGGGATATACTAGATTTTGGGAGACTGGCCTGTTTCTCATTTTTCCAATCTTATCAATGGTCTTATCAAGGTCCTAAATGTATCACTAAGCTCATTAAGAGCCATACATGCCATCACTTCAGCTTACACTTGTGGAATGACTGGTGACAAGACATATATATCAGATCTTTTGGATATGATCAATCATTCCACAGGAAATTAATCAGCAACTATTTTGAAAATTGACTGAAGTCAGTTCTCATATAAAAAAATTATAAACTTTTGAAGATTCCAGCTTCTAAAATATGAGAATTCTCACATTATAGTCAATTCAATATCTTTGGGCTTTAGGATGTTAGTCAGACAAAACCAGACATCTCCTAGAGCTGTAGAAAAGTTGTTTCACAGTTTTTGATGTTTTCTAGTCTAAACAGTTAATCAAATAATGAAGCAATAAAAATAATCCTTGCACACCAGATAGAAACATACATACTTATTCACATACATTCGCTCATGGTTAGTCTAAAGTAGTCATTAGAAACGAAAATGTCAACACAAGACCCAGTGACACAGTGAAGTAGTGCCATCCACTCTCCATCGCACTGCAGTACTGCTGAACTGTGAAGAGTGCTTTGCATCAGTGACACTGTAGGCCCTTGTTGTTATATGACCTGTGGGCTACATTTCTTTTATAAAAATGTTGCAACTGTATATACAGCTAGGCAGATTTAGTTAGACTATTTTAGTTAAACAACCACATATTCATCCCTATCGCAGTGAGACTGTTAGCAATACAAAGTCTCCCTCATTCTTCACCTACTGAAGCACAAAAGCATTTAAACACTGTGTTAGTTTTGTCTGTCTTTTTAAAACTGTCAGCTTTATCTGCATATCATTTTCACTTTACTCACCAATATGCATTAGAGCAGATTTTAATTCTCACTGTCTTACTTGGAAATGATGATAATCTAGTCCAAACAGATAATATGCAGTTATTATCACATAGAAAGAGCTAGTGGCAGTGAGCTGTTTGAGATTATGTGACTGACAGCAGTAGAGTGTTTATTTTTTGTCATTTGTGAGCCAAGATCATCAGCTGTTTAATTTTCTGTTTGTGCATTTCTTCACATCCAGTCGGAGCTATGTGTTCTCCACCCTGGCATCATCGGCAGTGTCCTTTGCCACGGGTGCATTCGGTATTTGGATTCCTCAGTACCTGGTCAGAGCCCAGGTGGTGCAGAAGACAGCAGTAGAACTCTGTGCAAATAACATCTGCAGTAGCACAGAGAGGTGAGAGGCTAGTGTCTAAACAGAGAGCACAGGCTTTGAAGTCATGCTGCTTCTGTTTGACTTGTGTAATCTGAAATTTTGTATAAGATACTGCCATGCTTTTTTTACTGCATGTTAAAAGCTGGATGACCTAGGTTCAGGTGGCTCAATGCCATTATATTATGTTGCTTTTATTTATTTATTCTGGAAGTAATTCAGTGTTGCACCATTAGTTATATTAAACCAATTTTTTTTTTACATGTTCATGCCTTAGACTTCATCTGAATGTTTGCATTAAAAAATTACTTGAGATAAAAATGAACTGACAGTTATTTCCTCTCTTCTCTGCTGTGTAGTCTAATCTTCGGTGCAATCACCTGTGTGACGGGTCTATTAGGCGTGGTCATTGGGGCGGCCACCACACGCCTGTGTCGCCAGAAGACGGCGCGTGCTGACCCGCTGGTGTGCGCTGTCAGCATGCTGGGCTCAGCCATCTTCATCTGCCTCATCTTTGTGGTGGCCAAGAAGAACATCATAGGAGCTTATGTAAGGCTCATTTCCTCTAACGTTTGTGCATATGTATTGTATCTACAGGCGGATGTTGCCTCCTTTTCAAACCAGGAGGGAGTTGTGATTAAGCCCAGTTTTGCTTTCCTACTCCAATGAATCAACAGTCCTACAGTAAGAGTGTTATTAGTTTGTTAACTGTGGATTGGCCTTAGGGTAAGAAAATCAAAAGGGACAGTCTGGTAAACAATGAGAAGAGAACTCACCAAATTGGTGTTAATAATTGAATCAGGAGTAAAGAGGATACCTTGCCAGATGCCAGCTCTTTTCAGACCCATAGAGGCAGTGAATGGGCGTTGCTCCTCATAATGACTAGCTTTAATTGCAGGTTAGACTGAGATGGCCTAGGGAGCATCAGATAGCAGAGGTTCTTAACTCATCTGGCCAAAAGCTGAAGGTCTCAGGAAAAGGCACAGAGTGCTTGTCAGTCTGAAGCAGGAAAGGGTGCAACTTAACAATCACTGGCCTAAAACAATGCAGTCTGAGTTGTTGGACTCACCAAGCACACATTTCTCACTCCTAGCAAGTTGGCCAGTAATAATGTTGGAAGGCTGGAAATGATGGAAAATATTTCCCATGCGTGTAAGGAGACAAAACAAACATATCCTAAATATGTGACCTTGGCTGATGTTGACATGAACCTTTGGCTGTCGGATCGGGATTTTTACAGTACATGTGAGGTGTGATTATGACATAATGACCTTGGTAGGGTTAGGGTGTTTTCTAAAGTGTGATTACACACCATTTTAATGAAGAAGAAGAATACTGACTAGTAAATGTATTAATTGAATGGTCCACAAGTAAATGCTGTATATTATCATTCAGCAGGTGCTAAACAAAGTCATTCCTACAGTAAGTGACATATGATAACTGATATAAATAATGATTTTAATGTAATGAATTGAATTTTATATGAGTTTTTATGAAGTCAAAGGCACACATTCATTACATGTTTGACAGAAGCATCATTCAGCCAATGAGAACTGAGGCACATATTAATTACATGAGTGCAGATCTATTTCCTGTGTGACAGAAACAGACGTTACCTTTTGAGATGCACTAAAATAACACCTGGTTTCTTTTCCTGTATATTTTATAAAGATACAGATGATTGATGTTTGTTCATGTTTTATGTAGGATTCTCTCTCAGATCAATCTCCACAGATAAAGTATTTTGTTGTGAGAAATGGTTAAAACAAAGTATTCTTTTAACTGTAACAGGCCTAAGTTCAAATATGCAACTTCACATCTTCTCAGACTATTATTGTAAATGATTAAATCATCTTACAGTACAGCAGCACTTGTAAGTGATCAGCTCAGGTTTCCTAGTAAAAGAGCTTACAGATGCGTCATATTATAGGCGTCACGTGGTTGTAATGGTCGGTGCTGCTCCATCAAATCTGAATGCCCCGTTGTACATAGCTGTTGTCTCATCAGCACACAGATAATCTGGCAAAGAGGCTGGCTCTGCATACCTGAGAGGCAACAGGTCGGTCACGGTGTCTGGTCTGCAGCATAAAATCTAGAATCTCTGCCAGACTCCTTCTGTGGTCCTCTGAACTAAACTGGTATGGCCTACTAGCAGAAAGGTTTTTCTCCACAGGAAACACATATCAATTGTCCACAAGATTTGACTGGAACCAGATCCCTCTTTTAAGAAAATGGCCAAATACTGTAGCAACACCAGTGTACAAGCCTGTGTATATAGAGTAGCCTACATTTACATATAGTACGTCAGCTCCACTTGTTATTTACAGTTTACATTCTCCACATTTTTCATATTTTCCACATTTAATAAACGGCTTTGGAAAAATAAACATTCTTTGTCATCTCGTGCTGTTTTTCAGCTTTCAGGCAAAATACTTGGCTCAGTGGGACAAAATGAAAGCCTCAGCATCCACGTATAATTGGGCCACAGCATAATAACATGTTTTTAAAGCACCGCAGCCAAAGCACTTTTATTCAGTAGTGGATTCCCACACACTGGAACAATATCTGCAACCTCCTCTTTTGGCTTCACATTCGGTTACCAGTCTGTTGTACAGCAGAAATTAGCTGATCTTAATTAGCACCACTAAATGCGCAATTTCTTCTTCTTTATTTAGGTTTGCATCTTCATAGGAGAGACGCTGCTTTTCCTAAACTGGGCCATAACAGCAGACATTTTAATGGTGAGTACTGAGAACCTATATTTATCCACTGGGTCAGTGGAAATTCCTGTAACTATACTGTACCATATGGTGATGGGTCAATTAGAAACTGTTTTGACCTGTGACATGTATCACAGGAATAAGTAGACTTTTACAGTTTGAGTGAATCTGGTAATTACTTTTTTGACCAAGACTGATTCATATACAGCTCATGGAAACAAACAGAGAGGGGTAAGTTTTGTTTTGTAAAAGTAAAAATAGAAGGTTGAGTGAGCCAAATGAAATTAGACTCTCAGTAAGTGATTGTGAAAACCATGTCTTTAATTTGTAATTAGGCTGGGGAGACAGAGAAAAGCTGGTCTTCCCATGTGCATTACTGATGACTGCAGGAGTCATTTTAACATGAGTGACAGGGTCTTTCTGCCTCTGTCTATAAATCACCTTATACAATCTCATATATTTTCACCCTCCATTTCTCTCTATCTCTGTGCAGTTTGTTGTTATCCCCACACGAAGAGCAACAGCGGTTGCCTTTCAGAGCTTCACGTCTCATCTCCTGGGTGACGCGGGAAGTCCGTACCTCATAGGCCTGGTAAGACTCTGCCAGAAGCAGCTATGTGTGTAAAGATCAAGGTGTGAAGGGGAATATATTTAAGATTTACCTCAGGATGTAAATCCCATGTACTGATTCAGCATATCTGTGAGGACCCCATTCATACGCATACGATGCATTCACACACCAGTTCAGCTCTCGCTTTAAGTGGGCCAGTGCAAAGTGATGTAAAGGAGGAACTTTTAGCACATGTCTCGGGGGGGGGGGCTAATGAACAGAGCTGTGATTTCACCACTGCTCTTCAGGCTGTCAGTGCCATTTTCATGCTTCCAAGGAGGGGCCAGTGTCACTGCATCTGATTGGTCAGGAGATGAGAGACTGGTTCTTACTGGGACACACTTGATTGTGACCCCGTCCCCAGCATCCACACTGCACGCATACACACAGAATAACATCCAGGAGGCCAGAATACAAGTGCCGCTTGCTATTTAGTGGAGTGTGAATCAGGCTTTACCTCAGACCATCGAGCAGCCTTCTCTTCATTCCTGCATCATCTTATATTGTACAAACATCCTACTGTCACAGTTAGAGATGCAGTACTGTCTGGCTCCAGGTGAATCAGTTTAATTCTGCTGATATAAATGTTTTCATTAGTGATTTAACTATTAGTCAGTCCACAGACAGCAGTTTGGTTAACTTATTAATCACTGTAGTCATTCATTAAGCAAGGATGCCACACATTAACTGGTTGGACTTCCTCAAATGTGACGATTTGCTACTTCTCGTTGCCTTAAAGCATTGTAAATTTAATGGGCTTTCACCTGTCACCTCGGGGTTACTGAACTTTTGATGGCCATTTTTCAATATTTTATGATATGTATTAAACTAAACAATAAAATAAACTATTCAAAATGGCCAACTGATGTATTGGTTAAAAAATGTACAACACTAGCTCCAAAGTTATAGCATTTGTGGAAAAGTGATGCTACTGTATAATATCACTGCTCTGCTGATAGTCAAGCAATATTCCAAAGTCCAAGCTCCAAATGTCAGAATAATGCACCAAACAAACACACACAGACACTGTCAACCAGAGTTACTCAAACATGGCTCCACAGTTAGTCACTCAACCCGATCTTCTCCATCCAGGGTCACGACTGTCCTCTGACTGAGACACTGAATGTCCAGGGGTTTCTCACTCCTCCGCAAACCACCAACCAGCAATGCACAGAACACTCCAAGTGCGTCACTACTCACTCCCTCAGTTCCTGAACTGAGGTTTAGCACGCGGGTGTGATGGACTTGTCGTGACGCACACTGAGCACGGGCAGTTACAGAGTCATCCATGCAGACTGGCACAAATCTTGTGAATGAGCAAAGCAGAAAATCTCTAGAAAAACAAACTTGTGGTTATTGCTAAGCAACCAAAAGAGAAAATGACTGAGTGAGTGATGTGCACCACACAGTCCTACAGATAATGGATTCAACTCTACAAACCAGTGTGATGTTTCCAGTGCACCATAGCTGCTTTTTTTGTGGAAATGCCTGGAGATACTGGTGCCCACATGCCACACAATTACCACTTCTTGCTCTTCAATGTGCTTCAGTACATCTGAAATCCTCCTCAGCTTGAGCCAAGATCCCCCTCCCTCAGTATGTAGACCAAGTCAGTTGTCACATCAGAATCCCCTGAAAAGCATATAATGGACTTGTCCTGTACTACATGAGTAGGAATTGGCCACAGTGGAATGGGATGCAGGGAAATGCCAGTAATCTCCCAAGAAGTACCTTCTGGCTCACTAATGCATGCAGCAATTCACTGTATATTTTAGCTAAGCTGTACTGTGGAGGTTACAGGCCTTTTACAGTAACTGACGAAAAAAGCTTTACACTGGCAATACACACAGCCGCTGGACATGTACTTGATTTAATCACATAGATATTTTATTTTTTTCCACTCTTATCTCTTCTTCTCCGATAATTCCTCATGGCACTTGCATGTGCTCAAATGTTTTGCACATGCACATACAGATGGGTGAAAACCAACACGAAGTGGCTTAGTAAGGTGCTGGGAACAAATTCAGCATTCCAAAGATGTTCCCTTAGCTGGTGTTATGATGATGGTGGTGGAGATACTGTCTATCACGGCACTCCAAAATCTTCCATAGGTGGGTTGAGATCTGGTGACTGTGAAGAAGCACCACATCTGATTTGTATCATTTTCATACTCAATCAAAAACCATCCAGTGACCCCTCAGGCCCTGTGCATGGGGGCACTGTCATCCTCAGTTATTCAGGTTTTTCTTTTAATTTGTCACCCGGCTGTATGAACATATACTGAATGCACACAGGCAGCCCCACAGACATCCTCCTGTCAGCAGTTCTCCATGTCTCCCCCTAGACAATCTCATTCTGCTGATGCTAACATGTAATCAATATGCTTAAGCAAGATTAACCTATGGCCACTCAGACTCATTCACACACAGATGAGCCCCCGCCTGCTCCTGCTGTGCATGCCTCCACACAATCTGCTGAAAGCCACCGTCATGATTTCAGTACGGTGCTCTATGCATGTATAAGATCTCACGTATGAGTAATACTGGGAGGCTGAAATGATCACATCGCACCCACCATTCTCCAGCTGTTATTTTCTTCCCTGCCATGCACTGAATGCCAGCCCTCGACAGAAATATGAGCTGTTAGCTATAAAACTCTTACATCATGCTGTGTGTCAGTTTTATCTGTTGTTATGATGAAACATGCAGAACTCTGTAAAGTGTCCATTGTGAGTGTGCAACCAGCGTAGAACCATGTAGTGTGTCAGACCATGACAAGATGTTTTAAGAACCTTTGCTGAATGTTTAGTGTGAATGAATTTCTCTTCTCCCATGTCTCTCACTGTGTTTGTCTGCGTGCGTACATGTGATGGTTTTGGTGGGGATGTGGGTGTGTTTGCCACTGTGTATTTGTGCCTGCGTGCCTGGGAGCAGATCTCCGATTCCCTTAGGCAGAGCTACACCATGTCGGCACTGTGGCAGTTCCTCAGTCTGGGCTATGCCCTCATGCTCTGTCCCTTCATCATTGTCCTGGGGGGCATGTTTTTCCTGGCCACTGCATTGTTTTTCCTGGATGACAGAGAGAAGGCAGAGAAACAGTAAGTGACTCAGACATTGTTTGAATAACTCATGATTTCATTTATTATTTAGTCAGTCGTTCTTTGAATTTTAAATACTTTCTTGAGTTGTCCTCCGCTGACTTTGTAACAGCTCAAAAAATCCAAACACACCAGAAGCAATATGAGCAGTAGCAGCAATATTGTTGGTTTTATTCTGAGTGCCATGCAGACATAAGGAGTTTAGAGACATTTTCTGCACAGTGCTATGCTGTTTTATCCTGATGCTGTCTGGGACAAGGTGCCCAGTGATGCCAACACCAGTGCCATCTCTGCAAGACTCACTAGGTCCCTTGAGCCAATAGAAAGTCTCAGTCAGCTAAAAGTGCTCCAAAGTAGTCACAAGCAGTTCTAGCCATCACTTTGTTAAAGTGTGCTTACTTAGACTTTTACCAGCTACAGCCTTTTTCATGCCTTCATATTTTCCTCTTTCAAACACCTAGACATGAACATAGAGGGCATGGTAGCCGCTTATGACCTTAAAAAGGCTAAAACAAACTCACTTATTCTCTTTACAATGGTGAGACATGACTTCTTGTTTTCGTCTGACTATTTTTTCCTATTTTTTTATCACATTGACTTACTCCCCTGGTGGCGGCGTTGTCAGAAATGACTTCCTGTTGAAGATGAGGGACATTTTTAGACAGGATGTCTGATGTCTGATATCTGTCTGCAGTCGCTTTTCTTTACCCTGTAGAGGTGGTTGATGCCAAAAACCTTCATAAACAGAAACAAGAGAGAGATTTCAGTATAGAAAAAGCTTATTGGTTATGATGAAAACAAAATAAATGCCATCTTAGGCAAGGTTTATGGAAATTTAAAGTTCCTCTAACTTTAGGATTTATTCAATTTTATAAACCAAAACTCAAGCTACCACCCAAACTGTTACCATATCCTAAGTGTGAAGTGTAATGATTTAAAAGGTTCTTTGCAAAGGAACTCCATAGCAGCCACCAGTAAGCCATCCTGTGGCTTTTGTTGGGCCTACTTTGGAAAAAAAGGGAAGAAATGCAAAACAGCTACTAAATGAAAAGTCCCACTCTTGCTCTCCTACCATTAATAGATACTTTGTGCTCCAATATGGTTCAAGCTATTTGACTATTATTGCAAAGGATGTGCAGATGGCGCATGTTCACTCAAACTATATCTAACCACAGCCCATTGACTTTCACCCAGCATGCTGTAGGACAAAGCTAATGGAGCAGTAGATGGACTGAGAAAGTCTCAGATATGAAACAGACACAGATGCCTTTATACAACTACACCACAACGCTAATACAGTATCAGTGCTGTCATAAGTCATCTTTTATTATGGGAATATAAGTTTAAGTTAACAGCTTAGTACATTTAACAATGCTTTTTAGATCAGTTAAAAACAGTAGAATAGTGGGTTGCATGTGGGCTGCCAGGCTGTGAAAAATATATATTACTGAGTTTGTAACCAACTCAAGTCATTCGTATTCATTGTAACACTCACTTTATAATAAGCTAACAAATCTGCAATTATAAATGTTAATAAGACATTGATAATAAACATCAGGCATGTTAGTTACAATTATTAATAAGTAATTAATAAATGGTAATAAAATCCAATGTATAGGTATAAATGTTTATAATAAGCATGTTTGCTGTTAATGAGTCATTAATAACTGCATTCATATACTGACTGTAACATATGACATTTGAAACTTGTCGTTAAACAAATGATTTATTTTGTTCCACTCTTGCTTGTACGTCTTACCTATAAATGGGTAAATGATACACCAACTTGTTGCATTACATCCAGGTATATACACAGCAAACATACTGTTGCCTCTGTAGAACTGGACAGATTTGTACTAAGCATTCCAATTTAGAAAAACCTCAAACTTCAGCAGCAGCAGCTCTAGTATGACAGCTGCAAACAGCGCCCCAAGGGACTGAGAACGGAGACCACAGCCACAGTTTCATGTGATTTGTGCTGTTCCATGAATGTGATATTTATAGATTTCATTCATGCTATAAAGCACCCAGTTTATAAATTCCCCCCTGACTTTACAGAGCGCTCTGCAGCTTTTTTCCCTCCTTTGAATTTGTCCTCAGATTTATTTAGCAAAGAAGCGGAGCTGAACAAGTTGTTCACTGGAGCACGCTTGTCTATTTTCAGCCCTAAAGACTGCTTTATTATTTCTAGGTTGTTAGCTTTTTTTGGTTGCAGGGCTGCCATCAATAGCTCGAGTTTAGTGCATGTTACCTCCCCCAGCATTCTGGGTCTACATTTGCACTTAGTGATGTGTGAGAGCGGAACTGTCTTATCTGCCATGCCAGTGCACCTTGATGGTACAGATCCAGTGTGGGTCAAGACAGACAGAGCACTGCAGCCGTGGGGATCAGACAAGCAGACAGTAATGAAGGGTGACTGAACAGGACAGTCACCATGTGATGAGTGAAGTCAGGAAAAACTGGTAGAAACAGATATTAGAGTAGAGAAATGAGAATAATCCAGTAAATTCTGAAATTGGTTTTAAAAGAGCTGTCTAAAGGTTTTTAGGCATTTTTAATGCATAGAACCATTCTTCTGTCCCCAGGTTGAGCCAGCTGACACGACCACCATCCTCAGTCAAGGTATGACCAGGTAAATTGCCCTTTTCTATAAAGATGTTTTCACACTTTACACTTTACATGGTTGATAACAAAGAGATGGTGCTAGAACATAGGGCTCCCTCCTGATTTCCTACAGAGCTCATTTCATTAAGAGAGAGATTGAAAATGAGATTTTCAGGGCTTAAAATAATCAGGACACTTTGGCTTGATTATCCAGAGCTTTATGGCAGCACTGGAGAAGATACACATGATAATACACAAATTGTTGGTCTCTGATCCTTGTACTTAGGAAGTGTTTAGGTATTCTTGAAGTGGTGGTTATTTAACCAACTCTCTGGCATCTTACAGAGACAGGAGCTGCCTCCCCACCTTCCTTGCCTTTATCAGACCCACACACATGATGCAAAACTTCTCTAATTACTAGCTGAGGAAAAATAAAGACACAGTAATCGGTAGCACACCATCAACTGTGCACTTTAGGACAATGGGGAGCTACATTAAACTCTGGCTCACTGATTAGAAGGACAAGGAAACAGGTGTGACCTTCTTGTAAAGGCTATCATGTTTTGCCAAAAGGTCAAGGTTGAAGCCCTTTCTGATGATTTCTTTGAAATTTTATCTGAATTTATACGTCTTCTAAGCAATGCTGTGCTCAAAGTGCCAGAAATAGGTTAGTATGAATTGCTGCATTTATTACAACCACCTCCCAGTAATTCCCTGCCTGTTTCTTCAGTGTAAAATACTGAGTTCGAAAAAGACCAACAAAGAGTAGTCACTATGTGATAAACAACTGCCTTTTATATTTTGAGTTGGAGTTCATAAGAAGATTGAAAGTTTCCAACAAAGGTTTGATCATAAGCTTGCTTACAAATGTTCTAATTATTTAATATTGTATTTCACAGTGAATTGCAGTTGTACCCTCCCCCAAATACATTAGACAACAAACAAGAATAACAAAGATTACTAATATGTAAAGTGCAGACAATAATTCAGGATATTTACTGTATATTGCTGAGAATTCTGTCCCAGAAAAAAATAATAAGCAAACACAGGTGGTGTTGAAGGGGTAATGTGAATTATGTAGATAGATGTTAGATATATGGATTATCTAACATGAGCTAGGCAAATTTTCCATGTCAGAGTGTTTTTGAATATCCCAACAGTGAGAGATTTCTAGACACACTGTGCTTGCAACTGTATCACTACACAACATAGCCTAGCTATAGCAAAAAGAGAAAAGCAACTGAAAGCTGTGCAAGCTTATTTGCATAGCTTGCTGATGAATGGGAGGCAATGACAGTCTCAAAGGCAAGAAATCAATTTTGATTTGTGGTGTGGTTTGGAAAACAGTCTAATGCAGTATCAAGGCTTTACAATTTGAAGATAATGTGATATGCAAAACCATCACTGTAAGTACTGCACTGTTATTACCACTGGCAGGGTGACGTTAGCATGCACGACTAATGACAGGTGACACAAAAGGATTCCACAGGGCTGCCACACATATCAGGTGGCAGCTTCTGCTCTCGGCCTGAGGGTTTCATCAGTTCTCTGTCAAAATCAGCAGTTCAGACATTTTCTCCTGCTGTTGTCAAAGGGAGCTAATTATAGAGAACAATCATTATAGCTTCATGAGGTCAGAGTTGACTATGCCTGTGAGCTGATCATTGCTATTCTAACATGAAACCACTAAGGAGCACTGCAGCGATTGATTTCCAACAAATTTGTTTTGCAGGATAATCCAGTGACCGACTGGAGTAATCTTTCCTCCCCTTGGTCTGACACATATCAGTAGTGTTCACAGTTCAGCCCTGCACTCACTCTGACCACTGTTCCTAAAGGTTCAACATGCTGCTCTGAGAAATAATTAAAAGAAAAACATAAAGAACATAAGGAAAATAAATGGTTTTATTGTCAAACTGTGGTAAATTAAGAGGAATATTCAAACTATTTAAAAAAAATGTTATCTGACAAGATGAAGAGGAACTTAAAGAGAAAACATAACTACTGAATCTTCTTCTTCTTCTTCTTTTGGCTGTTCCCGTTAGGGGTCACCACAGAGAATCATCTGTTTCCACCTAACTCTATCCTCAGCATCCTCTACTCTCACACCAATTATCTTCACGTCCTCTTTTAGCACATCCATATATCTCTTCTTTGACCTTCCTCTTGACCTCTTGCCTGGCAGCTCCATCTCCAACATCCTTCTACCAATATAACCACTATCCCTCCTCTGCACATGTCCAAACCATCTCAATCTGGCCTCGCTGACCTTGTGCCCAAAACAGCCGACCTGAGCTGTCCCTCTGATGTGCTCATTCCTAATCCTGTCCATCCTGGTCACTCCTAAAGAGAACCTCAACATCCTCATCTCTGCTACCTCCATCTCTGCCTCTTGTCTTTTCCTCACTGCTACAGTCTCTAACCCATACAGCATAGCTGGTCTCACTACTGTCTTGTACACCTTTCCTTTGATTCTTGCTGCCACTCTTCTGTCACACAACACTCCTGACACCTTTCTCCACCCACTCCAACCTGCCTGCACTCGCCTCTTCACCTCTTTCCTACACTCCCCATCACACTGGCCGCAACCCTGATTCGAACCTGGGGCGCAGCACTCTTGCCTCTGCACCTTACCCACTAGCCTACCAGGCACAGCAAGATGTAATTACTGCTTCTCTTTATCCTCATTGATTCAGTAGTTAGAAAACATAACTAGTAGTTACAAAATATAACTACTGAATCAATGAGGATAAAGAGAAGCAGTAATTACATCTTCTTCTTCTTCTTCTTTAGGCTGTTCCTGTTAGGGGTCGCCACAGTGAATCATCTGAAGCAATAATTACATAAGCGGTTATATATCACAAGCTATCTCCAGTGATACAGTCCCTCAAGTAGGTCAGATATACAGAGAACCAATTCACTTCCTCTGCAGGAGGAACTGGCTTCTGCTGGCCAGCCCGACCCCACACTGCACAATAACTAGAGGACACCTCCAAGCTGGGGACTGAAGATCAGCATGAGGTCTCACTGTGGAGCATTGTGGAACACATTTATTCAGTAACCACAATCTCATTGTATCTGAGGAGTAAATTTATGCCATGAAGTAAAACTCTGACTTTAACACTGCTGTCCAAACTCTTAACTGTTCAAAGTGTTTATACAGCTGCAGGCACGTAATTTCTTTCTTTAAACTCTCATTCAGCAGTGCTCAGTGGGCTCATGGTGCTGGCTAGGGCAGTAACCACAGAGCACATATGCACACAAATATGACCTGTACATCTTACAGTACACTGAAAAAAGCCCTAGGCTATAGGACATTAATCTTTCATTATCAGATGAATAAGTACCCTAGGCTTTCAGACTTTAATCTTTCATTATCAGATGAATAAGTGAAACAGATGAGTTCCTAGCTCTCCTCAACTTATCTTTGGTCTCATTTACTGCACCATTCAACACTTTCTCCATCTGTCCTCAAATATGAAGTCAGTCAGATCTGCAGTGTTGTCAGCCTGGCTGGGTTCAGTCATGATTTGCATCCTTCCTGCCAAAAACCACTACAAGTTGGCTTGATTAGAGTTTGCTTGCTTGCCAGACCAATCAGACCTCCCCTTTTCCCAACAGTCTCCAACACAGTAATAGTGAAGCAGCAATGAGTCAGGGTAGTATCAGAGCATTCATAATTCTAAGTATCTCTATGCCATGCAGGCTTTTGAGCAATTTAATTTTGAGCTTGGCACATACAACAGTTCACAAGTGTCTACAACTGACATTGAGGAAATGGTTAATTCCAGGATCTACATCTATAACATTTTATTTTCAAAATTCTACTAATTTTCCTGTTCATGCTAATCACTCTTGTTTGTATGAAGTTGTTTTTCTGGAGTGCATCAGTTCATCTGCAGGTTTATAGGTGTGTGTCTGTGTTTCAGAATGCAAGACACTAGCTCATAAAATTGCTCCCCCTATAGCTGCCTGTACTAATCCTATTGTAGCACCAGTAGTATACTGTGCACTGAGGAATACAGGGCACTGTGATGGCAGACCACAGCAAACAGCAGGATGCACCACTATCTCTCTCATCCAATTTAAAGAGATTGCAAACATGGCAACATGAACGCTTAATGGTTTAATCTTCAGCTGGACTTTTCCCTCTGGCACTACATTTCCCAACACATAAGCTTTGTTTATGTGCAATTTCAGAAGCTGGAAGAGATTTTAAGACATCTGAATAAATAGTCATGAACAACTAATAATAGAAGTCACTCAGTGGATTCAACCCATATTAAGGTTTCTGTTTTTACATTCATAAACAAGTTGTTAAAAATGATACTGTAAGGGAATGCAAATGAACAAAGGCAGAAATCTAGCTGATTTTATATGAGAGTTGCTCTGTTTGAACAAATCAAAATTCTTAGGATAGAGAGCATGCAAAGAAATTAATTTTAACAAGAACATTTACTCAAGATCTGTATTTAAATACAACTATGAGACACTTTAAACTTAATAGCATATAGACACATCAAATGTAAAGCCTCAGTCTGCACATCTGGAGACACATTTACTGTGTGTTGCTGTGGCTTATAGCTCACACTTATACCGACTGGGGGGAGATCTGCATTAAACAAACTGTGTGTGTCGATATGTTGTGTGCTGGAAAATATTTAGGTCACAGGCTGGTCCTGGAGTGTAAGCGTTATCAGGAAGGTCCTAACAGATGGCCTACAAGCTTTTGACCTCAGCATTAATTACATGAGAAAGCCCCTCTGTTTCCTCACATCCCTCTTTTTCTCTTTCAGGTGACAACCAAATAAGGAGCTGTCTGCAGGAGCAACCAAACTCAATACGGATGACAAGCTGGAAATAAAGAGCAAGGGTAGCTGATGCACTTCTTTAGAACCACACCCGCGTCATCCTCCCTGTCGTCATCGTCTTTGTCCTCCTTGCTCCTGCTGCTCTTCCTTTTTATAAGCTCGTAGAGGCTGCTCAGATTGGGAACGAGGGAGCGTCTTGCCCCTCCTTGAACTGCCACTGATTCACAGACTAGCGAGAGGGTCCACAGCAGTGCACTGAGGCTCCAGCTGGTGTCCTCCTCACCTCTGTCTGCAAGGATCCACTGAACCTTCTAGGGAGGAGGTGGGGCTGCAAAGTCCCCTGTGATCCCCTCTGACTTCTGATGTCATACTACTGAAAGCTGACCATGAACCTGCCCTGTCTGTCTGTCTGTGTGTCTGTCAAGTAGTCTGTCTCTTATGCGTCCATCTGTTACATTGGCTGTCAATCTGCACCAAGTGCCATCACATCATTACATTCCTTCAGACTTGCACTGACCACCAACAACTCTCATGACTTCATCACTGCTTATGCTTACATGCCCAATATAGTTCACCTTTTGGCTGCAAAATGAGTTTCAATAAGCTGTTTATATGCATCATCTACAGTCATAAAGCTCCTCTGGTGTCTCTGGTGTCCCATGCAAATTTTCCACCATTCATTTTGCACAGACTTTCTCTAGTTAAGTGCTGTTTATCAGTTCAAACAAGCAGTCAGTAATGTGACTAGCATCAAATTACCCTACATATCTTTATCACAGTATTAACAACATGAACATCATTTAAATATAGTGTTTACATGATGACCGCAGTATTCTCACAATCATTACGTTTTGCTGTGCATGTAACCATAGCTATCAATCAGGAGCCAAAAAAGTGTTACTGTCTAAAGGTCAATGAATCCGCCTTAAAAAAATTGGAGCTTTCACATCAGCAGATGCTTACCTTGACCACCCTTTTTTATTTTTAGCTTTTAGCACTTAAATCAGTGTAGACAGTGCCAGGGAACATGGCAGAGATTAGAGGTTTCTGCACATTACTTTTCACAAGGTTTCTTGTGATTTTTTTTTCTGTGTGATGTTAGATTTTAAATTGGAGGTTGCTGCCTATGATTGTTTCAGAAGGATAATGAAGCAACCCAGGTGATTTAAAGCAGACACTGGATTATATAGTTTATCATTTATAATGTACATGCTTTTCCCAGAAGTAAATGAAATGCTACTTTGTTGACTTTTAGGGATTAACGCCTGTGTTTTGTGTACATAAGAAGCAATACAAAAGATATGTGTGCAAACCAACAATTTTTTATACACACTGCCTTATCAGTGAGCTGGGCTTCCCTTTAAAGGGCTCACTCTCTGATGGTTGGTTTTGAATTTCTGGACACAACACCCACACAGAAAGAAAGCCACTTTTAATGACGAATTCCAGTCTGGTCCATGCTTGTTACAATAACAGGTATTGTGAGAAGAGATCTTCCCCTTTGCAATTGTAGATATTCCATTGCACAATTAGAAGAAAGGACCTTTGAGAAGAGCTCAAGTCACATCATCACGTTATTAGTGAGGGAAATCAAAATCCCAGACAGGAAAGAGAAATTATTCAGCTGCAGGTTAGACTAATGGTAAGCTCTTAGCAGTGATAACAGATCGGTGAGGAATCCCCCTTTAAGAGCATCCCAGCATGTCCTCAGATGTCACTCCACAAACCAAAAGTCCCCTTCAATAGCCACACCAGAAGATGACAGAGATTTATAGAGGAAGTAGAAGTACACAATAGACAGAAAACCTGGATTTGAGTTCATCACTCTATGCACGAATCACAGTATCCTACATGTAATTATACAATATAAATGCAATCTCCTGTGAAAAGGAGGGAATTCTGTGAGGACGGCTGCAGTTTGTTGCTCGTATAGACAAAGATTTAGGCAAAAGCTTCATTTGAAGCTTAAAGATCCTTTTTTTGTCATATATTACCTGGTGGATATAGTTTTAGTGAGTCAAAGTAATGAAGTCAAAATGTGTGAAGCTTGTGCTTAAAGGGAAAAAAGCACTTTGCAGACCTCTAAGAAAACACAGAAGGAGAAGAATGGAGTCATGTTAGCCGAAGGATGAAGGTGACATTGAGGTGGTTCTTGTAGCATTGATGTGCAAGCATGACTCACTGGCTGTGTGTGGGGTGCTATGTGGGCTGTGTCCTTGTTGCCAGATCATTAGCTTTAGCATTTCTCCAACTGTGGAGTTTTCTGAATGTGATTCTGTTCAACTTGATGTGTTTACACAACTACATCTTCTTAATGAACTAAGCTTCTTACCTTCCTTGTATCTAGTTTCCTTTTGTTTTTTAATGTTACCAAATGAGTTTTTCTAATAACTACAATATATATATATATATATAGCTATATCACGCAGCAATTTTAATATATTGTAAATGATGGCTTGGATGCAAAGTATTTATTTGTTTATTACCATAATGAAGAATAATCTATAAAGGGAACTTTAAAGTTTGAGTGTACTACTCTTTGTTGTATGTCCTTGGGTTTAGAAATGCCTATTTGTTCATCTTTTGTATCCCAATGAAACAGCACAAGACCTTTTTTATATTACTAAGATTTACCATGCTTACTGTGACCATGAATTGGACATCTCACACATATTATACACAGAGGAACCGCAATGAAATGGTGGAAGACAACATATTGATTTCATTGTTAGGGTGCAATACTTTTGCATTCGTGTTTGTAGCCCTTATAGGTTTTTTTTTTTAAGTACAACTGATCAAATCATTTTTGCACACTTAATGTTCAGGGATTTATTTGAACCATAGCAACTTCACAGCCTCTGCCTCAGTCGTCTGTCACTTCCTGCTCTCCATGCTGACATGCTGTCATTTATCTGAATCTCTCGTCAGATAGGTCATGAATCAAATTTCATTTTGCCAAATTTTGTTTAATTAACATCAATCTTTTAGGAATACAAGTCCATTGTATCAATAAATAATCATATGTTAATAATCACTGAAGTGATGTATTGCTATTTCTTGTTATACAAGAAGCATGTATAAAGAAACCTATTTCTGGTATCGGGCAGAAAACGGTGGCTATTTTTATATTTGGAGCAATGAAATACAAGTGTCAGAGAAATCAATGGATATTATTCTAGAATTGAACTGTGATGCTCCCTTGATGGGTTGATAGAAATGTACATGTCTGTAAATGAAATAAACCTATTTAATCACTTTATACCACCATTGTCCCTTTTTCTGTATTCTGAGAAATATTGAGCACCTCCAAATGAATCAACATCCAGCAGTCTCTGTTAAGAAATATGTTTGCTTAAATACTGTCCCCTTGTGTATTTCAGGAGTTCCTCCTATAAAGTGTTACACTTCAAAGCAGTCATAAGTCTGATTTTTAAAGAAAGACAAGTGTGTCTTCAGTATTATGTAACTGTTGTGAGCCTTAGATTAAGCCATTATAGGCAAAATACTACATATCTGCTATGCCTATTGCACATTAGTTACTAAAAGACAACTAAGAGATTATGAATTCTGTTCACATCTATATGTCATATTGTTTTAGTGATGCTGATGCCTTATAAACAGTGAAGATAAAGCAGACAGGTTTATTCATATACACCACCATACAGACACCATTTTTCTCGTTTTCCCAGGTCCATTCTCAGGTGCAGGTTTTCCTAACTGTTTCAAAATGTTGCTTCACAATTCAAGAACAGTAATCTGTGAGTAGATTTAGTTTACTGTTAAGTTCATATTCATTTGCTTCAGTGAAGAGCTTATGCAGGTATGGAACTGCTTGTATTGGTATCCCTATGCCCTCTGTGAAGGAAAACATTTTCTAAATAAGTGTATAGCATTTATCACAGTAATACATCATATGTTACGTGTGAGTGTGGTGGGGACCCCAGTTGCAGACACAGAGACAAACAGAGTGGGTATGAACAGAGCAGTTTAATGAACAAAACACAGGTATTGCTGGATGGCAGGACGACAGGCAGGCCCTGGGCAGGCAGGGAGCAACCAAAGACAGGCAAGGACGAAGGAAACCAGAGGAGGCGACACCAGGAGGGACCCGTAGGGAACTAGTAGTACAGGACGGGAATACAGAGTCAAAAAGACAGTAAGCACAGGACCCAAACACATAATGCTAACTGCAGTGGCAGTTCTACACTGAACCAGCAAAGAGGCGGCGGAAGACAGGGTGTATATATTAATACCTGACAGGACCGGGAGACAACGAGCAGCAGGTGGGAGGAATGATGGCTGAATGCAAAAGGAAACCGCAGGGGACAGGACCGGGAGATAACAAGCAATGGGTGACTGACATGGCGACTAATTGCGGTGACAGAGTAGCGGGGAGAGAACAGGTAAACAAACAGAAATCCAGGAAGCAGACCGACGTGAAACCGTAACATCATATGCTTATCAGTTGTCTGGTTATCATCTAGTGTAACTGTTATAGATGTGAATGTGACCAAAGACACACATTATAAACAACTTGACAGAAAATGGGCAAGTAATGTAAAAACAATAATGAAGTCATGTAGGACAAACTTGTAACTACTCAGTATAGTGCATCACTTTAATTAAAGGGGTACAAGCAAGTTACAATGCTTCAGCAGGCAAACTCAATTTACAGGAAAGCATTTAAATCCATAAACCTCTTATATTTATTACACAGTAGATTCTTGCAAATTGTGGACTATTCTATATATATAATTGCCTGTTCCTTACTCACTCCCTAGTAACTAACTCTGTCTTATTGTGAAGTGTTGTTGCTGTCAGAACAGAGATTATCCACTTGTTTAACTCCATCACAATGAAACTACACACCAATAGGTTAAGCCAAAAGTATTACATTAAACCATTATAAAGGATAAAATAATTTATTTTCAAATTTTGAGAACTGTATATTGTTTTCCTTCTTCTCCCCATCTTTGCAGAGGCCTACAAGAGCATGATTTTTATCTTGGTAGAAGAAGGCAGAAGTCCCGAATGAGCTACTGTGCTGTTCAGGTGCAGTCAGGCAGGCCTATGTGAGGCTCAATTTGTAAGGTAATCTCTCAGTCTCCAAAGTGGTTTACTATCATACTGATACATCACACAGACAACATTTGTGCTGTGGATGCAGTAAGGGAAAAAAACACATTTACCTTGACGGGGCTGAAGACGTCTTCAGGTAATGGCCTTCTGTGTGCTGACATTCATTAGAAATGTTAGAGTTACCTAACATGGCACATATTAGCACTAATGGAAATGTCTATGACAGGTATGCACAAACACAGACAGTATGTACACAGTGCATTAGGACAAAGGAAGACTTGAGATGCTGGCCTTGAGAGCTTTCATTAGGCAGAGCTACATTTTAAACAGATCCTTCTAACCAACCCCAGTTTGAAGAAGGGAAGATTATATAGGAGCCAGAGGAAGCTCAAACTGGAGAAGTGGTGTTTGGTCAGCAGATGACCGGGAGAAACCAACACCCTTTCCCACAGTGAGACCAATATGTACCCCAAAGTCAGACAGTCCAATCTAAAAGTCAACACACCTAGTCATGCAGCAGGCAGGAAACACTGGGGCGTAGGCAGGAAAAGGGGAGCCATTCTAGGGAGCACTGGAATTTCCATGTGAGCTTTATCACTAAATACAAACTTTGTGCAACAGGCAAAGTTAATTTAGGTTGAAAAATAGCCACCAGTGGATGTGAGGTTTCAAAATGTCAGCTTGTTTGGGGATTAAAAGTAAAGTAAAAAAGAATACATATGATTTGTAATTCTTTCTGATCAAAGTACACTATTTAACTATTTGCACATTACACTTGAAATTATGTGTTTGAACATCTTCATATATCCTATTAAAGTGCTGTCCTAATTTTTTGACAAGCTTATTAAAAATAAAATTTACTAAAGGTACTAAAATTTGACTCATTATTTTAGAAATAAAGAATGGTAGTGTGGCCACTAAATATTTTTGTACATATTTTAATCCTGTAAAAGATTTGAGGCTGTTGATAAAGTTTAGAAACAAAAAGTTTACATCCCACACTTGCAGGGGCAAATATAGTAAAATTTGGACAGGGTAGCTAGGTTCAAGGCACAGAGTCAGAGGGGTGAGGTGACACATTTGAAATACATGTAAAAAGTAAATTAAAGCCCTAGTTGTATTATTAAGCATCATTAGACAGACAGTGCTTTCTTTAACTAATTTTGGCTGTGCTCCTGACTAACTCCTGGCCCAGGACATCTGTGACAACGCCCACAAACTCTATGTAGTCACTTACTAGTTTATTGTGTCCATATTGCTTATGTGTGTTTTTTACTGTTAATTTAAACCTACCCTTGGTGTAGATCCTGTCAGCTCTTACCCACCTGTCTCTGATTAAGTGATTAAATTCTTGGGTTTGTGTGACTGTATATACACTCCGCGCACATCTTCTTTCTGTTTGCCAGTTTGTCTTTGTGCTCTCAGTAGTCAAGCAATCCAGCCATCCCTCATGTTATGTAATCTTCTCTTGTGTATGACCTAGCTAGTTTTTGACTCCTACCTCTGCCTACTCCATCTCTGTTTCTTGGCCTCCATGATTCTGACCTTCCCTCCGCCCAGGTTTACACCTTATCTGTACCATCACTACACCGACTGCCTGTAAATTAAAACAAGACTTTGAACTGTTACCAAAGTGTCATATCTGATCCCTGCTTCTGGGTCTTTTCTTTGGTCTCTGGCTGTCACAGTATCACTGTTGTACAGTGCCCCCACAAACATATGTAATTACTCTGGAACTTTTCATGAAAAGCTTAAATTCAACTCTGTGAAGAAACATGACTCACTGAATAATGGATTTTAAATACAAATGGTATGATGACAACCAGTACAACACAAATAAAGGCAGGCTTAGGAAAAGCACATCTGATCACACAGAACCAAAATAGACTGTCTGTAGAAAAATGCATGAAACAGAAGTATCTGCAATCTCACTTCCACTGTGAATGTCTCACATCTCTCTATTGGCACCCACCAACTTCACAAACCTGCTTCACAATGTAGAAACAGTTACATTTACTGAAGAAAGTATAGCAAAAACATTACAGAAGTCACTGTTTGCATCTGGGAGATGTTTCTCATGTTCTCAGATTTATTTGATGGGAAATCTCTATGTGAATGTGAGAGCTAAGATCTATTTCCTACTGATCTATTCCACCACCATCTTAGGATGGAATGCATTTGCTCACTGCACCTTATTTTTGTATTCCACAAAAATAAAATAAGGATAAAACACTGAAGAAATGAACAAAGCCTTCACTACAGGATGTACCCTGTGTAGACAAATATGCAAAATGACATACACATATTTCTTTCTAACAACAGGACTGAACATGAGGGATTAGAAGGAAAATCTGGGAATAAAAACCAACAAACGACTCTGGGCTATTAGTGAAACTGTAACAGATTTTAACTGTAAAAACTATATTTTCACATAATTTAAACATCTTTGACCAGTTTACTGTGTCACTGGATTTAATTATTTCAGAACAATAAAACCCGATATCACAAGGAGAGCCTCCTCCTGAAAACAAGAGGATAGTTCATAAATGTACACAACTCCTGTTGCCGTTCAGGAAACTACGACAATGCATAAACAAAAAAACTTTGACAAATAAGCTACACTTTCAGCAATAGCAGTACCTCAAATCCTACCTAACATGTTTGAGCCAGAATATGATGAACTGCAACAGCATTAATTCACATGCGGCAGATACACTGGCCTCAAGCAGCCAAAACAAACAGGTATCGATAGATAACTCAGAAAACAAGGAAAAGCAGACCATCCTGGCAGTGTTTAGAGTGGAGAACAGAAGTGGTCCAACAATTTATTCTTGAGGTATTCCTCATATTTTTATTGCAGCTGAAAAAATAAAATAATAAACAAATAAAAGATGATCTTCTCAACAGATTAAACTGTATTATGATTTTTTTTCATTCTAAGTTTCTGATAGACTATTTATATTTGTTAAAATGATGTAGACACAAAACCACTACATTATTAGACACAGCAACTGGTACAACAACAAAGAAACAAGACAATGACAGTGACAATGTCAATTCAACAGCAAGTGCTTTTGGAGGATGCAGACAACAACTGACATCGATAAATTTGTTGTATAGACAAGAGATTTGTTCCCACAGTCA